CATCCGACGAAGTGGGCATTCACCCACGAAAGCTTATGCTCCAATACATCTGTTAGTCTTAAAGGTGCCACAGGACCCTCTGTTGCTTTTTACATTTTATCACTCACTTTTCTACCCTCTTTTTTTTTTTTTGTCTAGAAGGTGGTAAAAAAAACCCAGGAAGCCTCTTGGAATTCTATTTTTAACTCTATTTTTAGGGTGTCATGTCATAATTCAGAAACCACTTGCCCATACTTGTTCACATTTGGTAGAAAAAGTCTACCTTCACTCCAGTTGCAGCCTCCCAATTTTATGGCTGATATGGCCTTCCTTGTAGATTTTAGTACAGAGGCTACAGTGGCCCATAATGGACTGAATTCAGAAAAGCACTTAACCACATGCAGTTGATTCCTGTTCAGGACAGCACTTAAGGAGGTGCTTTTTCTAAGTGTCTGAGAGGACTTAAGCATGTGCTCAAAGTTAAGCATGTGCTTAAGTACTTTCCTGAACAGGGTTGCTTTCTCAAATTGGGGCCTTTATTATGCAGTGGTTATCGTTACTCTGTAAGAATAAAACAGACTTAGGCCTTGGCTACACTGGCGCTGTACAGTGCTGCAACTTGCTGCGCTCAGGGGTGTGAAAACGCCCCCCCGAGGGCAGCGAGTGCAGCGCTATAAAGCGTCAGTGTAATCAGAGCCTGCAGCGCTGCACGCTCGCTCGCAGCGCTGCAAGCTATTCCCCTCGGAGAGGTGGAGTACTTACAACGCTGCGAGAGCTCTCTTCACTACACAGTGAAGTCTCGAGTGTAGCCAAGGCCTTAGAGACAAAGGAATTGCTATAGTGGCTTAGACCAAGGGTTCATCTACAAAGAGAGGCAGTTCCAGATATTTCAGAGTACTCTCCATAATGGCCAATGGAAACATTTGCCCATAAGGAAAGTTTCCTTTCTATCCCCAGGCAGTTAGTTCTTGGCTTATGCAATGAATCATGAGGGTTTATTCTTTTCTTTTTTATTCTCTCTCATTATTCATATAAACATCTAATCTTTTGGAATCATACTTAGCTCCTGGTCTCTATGGTTTCTGGTGGCAATGAGTCCTCCAGGTAGTCATGTTAGGTGAAGCACCTAAAGGGGAGTTAGGTGCCTGACTCCCAGTGACTATCCTTAGGTGCTTCCGAAAACCCCAGCCAAGCTATGTAAAAGATTTAAATTTGGGGCCTTTCCATTGCACTGTCCCTTTTGATGTGAACTACAGCAAACGGTCTATAGTAATGCCCAATTTACCGTCTCTGCACCAGTCATTACTTGTATACTCCTCTCACGTCCCTTCAAAAGACACAGGCCTGCAAGGTTCTAAACTCCCTCTGTTCACCTTGACTTTATACAGTAGTGAAGGGCACTCGGCACTTTCTGGGATCAGGCCCATATTCTTCTTGCCAACTGAAACAGGTTTGATTTTTCCTGACTCTCCTCGTTATTGGTATGAGCAGTGCAATTAACCTCAAAACATCTGACTTCTATCACAGTGATATTTACTCTCTAATGACATGAGTTTACTACTGCAGCTTTTGAATTCACCAGAAAAATCCTTGGAATTGTAAAGAACTAGACTGTCTGAATACAAGCATGCAGTGTGCACTGTCAAATGAGCAAAGACCACCCTCAGTACAGGTCTTCACACTCCAGAGAGAACATTGGTGCAGACACAAGGTGTATTTCCTCATCAGGGTCTCACCAGGCGGAGGTCTTCACTCCCAAACATGGCTATGGAAGCCACAGTGTCCTGCTGTCCAGTCACTTGGGTTTCCAGTGCTAAGGGGATCTCCACAGTGCTGTGAGGTTGAATAATGCCACAAGGCCTGGGGCTGGAGTATAGCACAGAGGGCTTCTCCTCATACTCCTGTGCAGAGACATAACCAGAACATTATCTTCACCATGACTTCTTTGGAAACTTTCCATTCCTTGACATTTAAAAACATTACAATTATCGCACAGTTAAAAGAATCACAGGCAAAACACTGGGTTCAAAGAGGGAAATTGAGCGTGGTGCGGAGGACTAGCACAAAGCCTGTACTGACCCCTATTTTGAGGACTTTGTGGGATTGAAGTGATGCACAGACAAGCACCTGCCTTCTGCGCAGGGGAGAATTTCAGCCAGAGATAGACTATAAAACATGCAAAACAGCACAGCTGAAGGCGCACATTTCTAACATGTCGGGTAATTAACCATTGGAACAGCTCACCACAGGACGTGGTAGGTTCTCCATCACTTGCAGTCTTTAAATCAAGACTGGGTCTCTTTCTAAGGGACCTGCTATTGCTCAGTAGAAGTTATAGGCATGAGGCAGGTATTACTGGGTGAAATTCTCTGGCCTGTGTTACAATAGCTCCTTCTGGCCTTCCAATTTCTAAATCTTTCCAGGAACTAGTACAGACATTTACTTGCCTGAGGCATCACCTAAATGCGATCCAACCAATCAAACAGACTGAATACCAGGGGCACCTGTTCCAAGCATCTCCAGGTTTCATTAGGAAAGAGTTACTCAAAATGAAAGAGAACACAGTGGCTATGTTGGCTGGTGCCCCAGAAAATATGGAACAGTGTCCATGTCTGCCAGATGGAAATAGGAAAACTATGAGGGGAAGGACATTATTTTCAATCACCCCTGAGGATATTAAAAGCAACAGAGAGTAAGTAAAAATAAAATACAATGGACTACATTTAACGGCATGTAAATGGGGGAGTAAAGTTAGCCAGAAACTAGTATAAACAAGTGTAAGTAGCAAAACTTGCCCCCGTTGGGTATTCTGCGGGGTCCACATTTAGCTCTGGGTAAACAGGTGCCATTTCCAGTGCACCAGGGCGAAATCTGGTCTCGGAGAATTGCAGAGGGAGTGGCCTAGCTGCTTTAGCTTACACTCTCCTGTGAAAGCAACTCTCCCCTTTGGCTCATCCGCGTAGGCCCAGGAGTTCCACGGCTCTCAGGAGAGACGTCTCCACGAGGGATTCACCCGAGGACGAAGGCAGCTTTAGGTTCCAGCTGGGGCTCACCAGTGGAGGCTCCCAGGAACATATGCTGAGTCAGTGTCCCGTCCAGGCACTCTGGCCCCAACTCCTCCTTTGCTGGCTCCAGTCCTCATGGGGGATATGGAATTGTGAGGCCCACATGCCCACATGCCAGTGATCTCTCTGTTGCCAGAGACTGCAGCCTGGTTTTTACCAGTAAAGCGAAATGGGCCCCTGGCTTGCAAGTTCTGCTTGCTTTGAAAATCTTGTAGATTGGTGCAAGTCGACATTGACAACTGCTTTCTAACCAACTAATGCCTAATGTGTAACTATACCACCATTGAATCTGTCCCAGTGGCTCCCACAGCAGCTGCACCTATTCAGCCCAGCCTACTGCTGACTCATAAACAGAGCTCACAGAAGGCTTTGAATTGTTCCCCTTTCCTGTTGTAGAATGTGTTACACCATGAAATATTAGGAAATGCCACACAGACCACCAGCTATGGACTCAGTCAGTGGCTTTCTTCCCTTTCCTCTTGTGAACTTCAGCCTCTCAGAAAGAAACCCTTGTGGTTATAATGTCTTGTATCTTTCAAAGAATCACTCCTGCTTTCAATGCTGTGGGACCCACCCCTTTAAGAACTTTTAAATTCTCACTTGCAAGAGAGTTCCAAAGAAGAGAACTTAAACATTCTCACATCAAATGCTGGTGAGGCTAGAGACAACAATAACACAGCATTTAATATTATCTGTTATGTGCTAGTCGGGAAATACCCCTTCCATTCTCAGAGAGCCCCATGGAAATGGAAGAGAAGCAGCAGAAAGGGAGGGTGAGATGACAAACCTGAGGGAGAACCCCGTAGCACCCTGGAAGCTCAGCGTCGTTCACAAGCATCACCATCTGCTGGTAAGGGAACTTCAGGAAACAGCGTCCAAACTTCACCACAGGGTTAGCCACACGCAGTGGAGGAACAACACATCTAGCCCGCCAAAAAACAGCATTACAGATACCAAGAGAATATAGTATTTGTTTACTCCCATAACATATTTGTCATTGTCACATAGAGGCTTTACACCCATACAGTCATTAATCATCTTAAAATTCTTTTTATTCACTTTTTAATCAACAATCTCTGTTAAAGGACATATGGGGAAACTGCCATGGGTCTCTACTCAATAGTGTTCTGTTAACACCAGCAAGCATTCAAGCAGGGTGCAATTTCTCAGACTGGAACCCTGCTAACATGTTGAGCTTTCTTAGCCTGAACAATATGTACTGGTTGGTTTGTATATTTTGTGTTTTCTGCATGGAAGGAATGTGCAGCTAGAGACTTCTGCCAAATCTGTGTTCATGTGAATTAACTTGACACCCCTGCCCTAAAACCCAACTTGGAAAGGGTGATTTTGGGTTTGGATCTGAGCCTCCAGGGAGCTTTCTGTCTCTTGTCATTCTGCAACACCTACCCATTAACCCAGAATACAAATCTTCCTCCTTTATCTGAATTTGAGAAGCCGTTTAGCTGATAGAAGGAAAACATCTTAATTTACAAATTGGGGAAACTGCTGCCTTCTGCAGGATGTATCAGAGAGGAGTCAGGGGGACCACCAGGCTGATGAAAGTCATGTCCATTAGTGTTCCTGTATGATGATCTCCTAATTATCCTACAAAATTGATTCCAGGTGCGATTTTCCAGACTCAGTGTTGGCCTAACCCTGTTCCCACTGAAGTCAATGACAAAGTTCACATTGACTTCAAAGGGAGCAGCGCTAAGCCAGTACCAAGGTCTTTTAAAACTGTCCTCCCCCCAGCTATATATACACAATTATAGATACAGGGCCAAATGCAAAGGGAGTGTCAATACCTCGCTGTGATTAGGAGTGCCAGCACTTCCTCTCCGATACCATCCACATCCACCACCAATGCCATTTCATATTTCTTCACAGTGTTGGAACATAAGGTCACCTAGTGCAGGAAAAGGGGAACAAATACTTTATTTCCTAACGCAATCCCTCAGAAGGGGTGCTCATTCAACAACCTCTAGTATCCCCTTTGTTGGGCTTTTGGAACTTGGAGATCATTTGCTGGAGAAGGACTCTGTTGAGTAAGCATCAGAGGGGTAGCCGTGTTAGTCTGAATCTGTAAAAAGCAACAGAGGGTCCTGTGGCACCTTTACGACTAACAGAAGTATTGGGAGTGTAACGGGATTGGGACTCACCACCGTGGTGCCTCCTACTAGTTGTTCCAGGAATTAGCTCAGTCCAGTGGAGCGCCCCCTCCTAGTGGTGTCCCGACTGTCGTCTCGCCCTCGGTTGGCGTGTCTGAGCCCACGTCGCTCACCAACTCGCGGCGTCCTCTTCGGGACCACTGCCCTCTGGCAGTGCCCCTCTGTCTTTCCACACCCCCTTCCGGGGGGGGGGTCAATCAGCAGTCTCCTTGTCCAGCCACCATAGTCAACCACACACCCCAAAGTCTAATCCCTCCCGTCAGGGATCTGGCGTGGTCTGTACTGGCCGCTCCCTATGGCCAATGGCTAGATGTACTGCAAGGGGGTAGGGGGGAACCCAGGCCCGCCCTCTACTCTGGGTCCCGACCCAGGGACCCTCTGGCGGCAGCCTCGCTGTCCTCCTACTCTCCCCTCGTCTGTCCGCTTCCCTGGGCTGCTTCCCCTACGGCCCCTTGCACCCGCTAGGCCCTTCCACCCAGGGTCTGCAGCCTGGCAGGCCTCAGGCTAGAGCTCCCCTCTGCTCCCTGAGCCTGGCCAGCACTGCGTTGTCTGCAGTGCTAGTCTCCCAGCTTGGAGACAGACCTTCCCCTCTTGAAGGCCTGGGACAGACTGACTGCTCTCTCTCTGTGCAGTCTTTTATAGGGCTGAGCCTGGCCCTGATTGGCTGTCTCCAACCTGGGCCCTGATTGGCTCCCAGTAAGCCCTTCTCTCATTGGCTGTGTGTCTGCACCGGCCCACTGGCCTGCTGCAGCCCATAATCTCAGGGAGTGGGGCAGCCGCCCCACTACAGGGAGCATAAGCTTTCGTGGGTAAGAACCTCACTTCTTCAGATGCAAGGAAGAAGTGAGGTTCTTACCCACGAAAGCTTATGCTCCCAATACTTCTGTTAGTCTTAAAGGTGCCACAGGATCCTCTGTTGCTTTCTGTTTAATAAGGTTGCACTGGTTGTATCAATGGTTCTCAGTTGAGGATCTTTGGACCATCACTGGTCCAGGAAGCCTTATCTGGTGGACCATTAAGGAAGCATTTTGAAACCAAAATTGTAAGGAATTGGAAAGTCTAGGACCAGAGATGGGCTCCAAGATTATTTTTTTAATATAATGTGATCCATAGAATGGAAAAATGGGGAAATGGGGCTTTAGCAAAGCAACTGATTTTTCTTTTCATAGAATCGCAGAAGATTAGCGTTGGAAGAGACCTCAGGAGGTCATCTAGTCCAACCCCCTGCTCAAAGCAGGAACAACCCCAACTAAATCATCCCAGCCAGGGCTTTGTCAAGCTGGGCCTTAAAAACCTCTAAGGATGGAGATTCCACCATCTCCCTAGGTAACCCACCCTCCTAATTAAAGTTTTTCCTAATATCCAACCTAGACCTCCCCCACTGCAACTTAAGACCATTGCTCCTTGTTCTGTCATCTGCCATCACTGAGAAGAGACGAGCTCCCTCCTCTTTGGAACCCCCCTTCAGGTAATTGAAGGCTGCTATCAAATCCCCCCTCACTCTTCTCTTCTGCAGACTAAATAAGCCCAGTTCCCTCAGCCTCTCTTCATAAGTCATGTGCCCCAGCCCCCTAATCATTTTTGTTGCCCTCTGCTGGACTCTCTCCAATTTGTCCACATCCTTCTTGTAGTGGGGGAACCAAAACTGGATGCAATATCCCAGATGTGGCCTCATCAGTGTCTGATAGACAGGAATAATCACTTTCCTCGATCTGCTGGCAATGTTCCTACTAATGCAGCCCAATATGCTATTAGCCTTTTTGGCAACAAGGGCACACTGCTGACTCATATCCAGCTTCTCATCCACTGTAATCCCCAGGTCCTTTTCTGCAGAACTGCTGCTTAGCCAGTCGGTCCCCAGCCTGTAGCAGTGCATGGGATTCTTCCTTCCTAAATGCAGGAGTCTGCACTTGTCCTTGTTGAATCTCATCAGATTTCTTTTAGCCCAATTCTCTAATTTGTCTAGGTCACTCTGGACCCTATCCCTACCCTCCAGCATATCTACCTCTCCCTTCAGCTTAGTGTCATCCACAAACTTGCTGAGGGTGCAATCCATCCCATCATACAGATTATTAATGAAAATGTTGAAAAAAAACCGGTCCCAGGACAGACCCCTGGGGCACTCCGCTTGATACCAGCTGCCAACTAGACATTGAGCCGTTGATCACTACCCGTTGAGCCCGACGATCTAGTCAGCTTTCTATCCACCTTATAGTCCATTCAACCAGCCCATACTTCTTTAACATGCTGGCAAGAATACTGTGGGAGACAGTATCAAAAGTTTTGCTAAAGTCAAGATATATCACATCCACGGCTTTCCCCATATCCACAGAGCCAGTTATCTCCTCATAGAAGGGAATCAGGTTGGTCAGGCATGACTTGCCCTTGGTGAATCCATGTCAACTGTTCCTGATCACCTTCCTCTTCTCCAAGTGCTTCAAATGGATTCCTTGAGGAGCTGCTCCATGATTTCGCCGCAGACTGAGGTGAGTTCCCCGAGATCTCCTTGTTCTCTTTTTTAAAGGTAGGCACTATATTTGCCTTTTTCCAGTCGTCTGGGACCTCCCCCAATCGCCACAAGTTTTCAAAGATAATGGCCAATGTCTCTGCAATCACATCAGCCAACTCCCTCAGCACCCTCAGATGCAGTGCATCCGGCCCCATGGACTTGTGCATGTCCAGCTTTTCTAAATAGTCCATAACCTGTTCTTTCGCCACTAAGGGCTACTCACCTCCTCCCCATACTGTGCTGCCCAGTCTGGGAGCTAACCCTGCCTGTGAAAACCGAGGCAAAAAAAGCATTGAGTATTTCAGCTTTTTCCACATCATCTGTCACTAGGTTGCCTCCCTCATTCAGTAAGGGTCCCACACTTTCCCTGAGCTTCCTCTTGTTGCTAACATACCTGTACAAACCCTTCTTGTTACCCTTCACATCCCTTGCTAGCTACAACTTTGGCCTTCCACCCAGACATGCTTGAGCAATATTTTTATACTCCTCCCTAGTCATCTGTCCAAGTTTCCACTTCTTGTGAGCTTCCTTTTTATGTTTAAGCTCACCGAAGATTTCTCTGTTAAGCCAAGCTGGTCGCCTGCCATCTTTGCTATTCTTTCTGCACATTGGGATGGTTTGTTCCTGTGCCCTCAAAAAGGCTTCTTTAAAATACAGCCAGCTCTCCTGGACTCCTTTCCTCCTCATATTAGCCTCCCAGGGGCTCCTGCCCTTCAGTTCCCTAAGGGAGTCAATGTCTGCTTTTCTGAAGTCCAGGGTCCGTATTCTGCTGCTCTCCTTTCTTTCGTCAGGATCCTGAACTCGACCATCTCATGGTCACTGCTGCCCAGGTTGCCACCCACTTCTACTTCCCCTTCCAATTCTTCCTTCTTTGTGAGCAGCAGGTCAAGAGGAGCACGACCCCTAGTTGGTTCCTCCAGCACATGAATTTTTTCCCAAGGAGGATCACTTTAAATAACAATGGGCATCCATGATGGCTTAAAAAGCTGCAGTTCTTTTCCTCAGCAAGCTCTACATCTTGGTACTGAGCATTCCCAGGGGTCTGAGCACTCACGGGGGTCGGAAGTGATGGTCTTCCTAAGTCTGCTGTCATTAAGAATGAAAAGGAGCCAGGAGTCACCCTAGTCATCCTTATGTTTTAGCAAACAGATCATCATCTAGAACCCTCCCATGCTGTGTGCACATCAAGGATGACACGTATTGTTGCCTGTTTTCTCTGATTTATTTTAGCCACGACTCTGTAAAAAGGAGTGTCTCTCTCCTTCGATCTGTCTGGAGATGAGTTCACAGTTGAATAATAAGTTAAAATTCCCGGAGTGCAAAAAGAAAGTTCCACTGTGAAAACAGCTCTATTTGTTACCTTTCTTACTGTAGACAGCAGAATAACAAAGCCAAAATGCCAAAGACAAAACCTGTCCTGTCCTATGCAGGTGGGTTAGTGGAAGAAGAATGTCCGCTCCCACACAGCAGCCATTCTAGCCGACAGCTGTGGGAATGGCTAATGACAGCTGCATACGTTCCATGGTCGGCTGGCTCAGGGATGTGACCAGCCCAATGGACTCCTGAGCTAAGGGGCTGCAACGGATGTTACCATATGGAATAAAAATAAAGTGTGCTGCAGCACACATCTCCCATCCTCTCTGAGCATTAAGCCCTCCCCAGGAACACAGCTCAGGACCTACGGCACAACCAAGCTTGCTGTGATGGGTTGCCCCCCCTTCCAACGTGCCACCTGATGTACTGGGGTACCACTGAGCCTGCCTGTTCCACCAGCCTGGCCTCTCTCATCCCGTCCTGCTAAGCCAGGCCCTCAAGCCCCCTCTAGCACACATACAGATAAAGACACACCCAGCTGCAGAAAGACACAGACACTGAAATCAGGACTGCACGGGAAGGCTTTCAGCTAAGGAATAGCCCAGTACTCAAGTGCACTCCCCCTCTGGAGAGTAAACCCAAAATTGTATCATCTTGCACTGCACAGAGAACTGTCCGTGTAAGCTCATGAAATTCACCCTCTCCCTCAATGTGGAGAGAGATGCACAGCTTTTTGGCCCCCCCAGTTATGAATTACACAAACTGGGTTTAAAACGAAAACAAGTTATTTAACTACAAAGGATAGATTTTAAGTGATTATACGTGATAGCAAACAGATCAAAGCAGATTACCTAAGTAAATAAACAAAAACCGCAAACTGAGCTTAACACACTAGATAGGTAGGATATAAATTAACAAATTCTCACCCTGCGTGATAAACAGGCTGGCAAATTCTTAAGGCACAAGTTGCCTTGGCTTTCCCAAGTTTTCATACACAGGCTAAAGATCCCTCTAGCCTGGGACCATCACTTCCCACAGTTCAGTCCTTGTCCCTCAGGTGTTTCCAGGTGTATTGTTGCAGGGAGAATGAGGTCCCATCATGATCTCATTGTGCCCCTTTTATATCTTCTTCGCATTTGCTGGAAAGCTCTTTTGCTATGACCTGGGTCAAACAGTTCCCATTGTGTAGTGCTGTCTCTGAGAGGTTTCTGTTGTACACAGTTCCTGGGGTAATCCTTGTGCTTCCGTGGATTTCCTCAATAAGCCATTAACATTGTTTGGCCTTTTTACTGTTGTACCTGAAAGGCTGCTTGTGGGTATTTTCAACCACACAACATGTTTCAGTGACACATACACAGCCAAACTTCATAACTTCACATACGATGATAGCACATACAATCCAACGAGATATTAATGTTTAGCAGATTAAGACTTTTAGAATGATACCTCTCAAGACATACTTTGTACAAAACATATTCTAATTACATGACAGTGGTGAATATTGGAGTGACAGGCTGTCACATTTGCCTTTTCTCCTCTTCCCCTTTGTGGGGGTCTGATGATTAACACAAGGATTTTGATCTAAATCTTCATCTGTAGGTTTGCTTACAACAGATGGCCCCTTGGAGTAAAGTTACATTTGGACAATCTCTGAATTGAGATACAAGGCCAAATACTAGCTAACTGTTACCAGGTGCAACTCCATTGACTTCAAATGTGTCCACATACCCAGGGTGAATTTGCTCCATAAGTGAATAGTTTGGTTGCCTTGGGATGTTTGCAAAACCAAGTTAAGAAGTGAGAGACCCCACAGGTTTATCTCCTCCAAACTTCCTCGTTAAAGCAAAAGGAGACAGAGGATTCTGCTCCATAACCCACACCAGGATCCTTACACAAGTGCAGATCTCTACGCCAGAGTTCAGCTTTGCCTAAAACCTCCTTCTCATAAAAAGACCTTGACTTTCAAGCTAATGTTACAGATATGGTGGAAATCCATCCAATCAATCACCTTCAACTGTAGCTGAATATGCAAGTGGACTGTACCATATTTCGGCTATGAGTTGAAATGCAAACCAAACACTACACATTGTCACTAGAATGAGATAATGTTTTTTTTTAGTGTGTTACAGGACAAAATCGCAGTTACAGAAATGGAAAAAATAGTCATTTCCATGATGATATTAGCTCCTTCAGTCTGGTAGTGAGACTTAAAAGATTCCCTGTAACCCAGTCTCCTGAACACAAATAAATTAAATAAATTCATTGTGGCTTTAAAATCCAGGGGCCAAATTTTGCTCTCAGTTATACCAGTGTAATTCCAGAGGCAGTCTACTGACTTGAATAGAATTATTCCAAATTTATAATGGTAACTGAAAGCAAAATTTGGCCCAAGAGCTACTGGGATCATTAATGGATACCCTAACTTTCACTGTCCCCCCTGGAGATCATTGCATTTAATGTGACTTAGTGGGAGAGTGAATGTGAGAATGAGAAAGAGAGTGAACTATTTTTGCTTATATACTGTAAAGCATTACTTTTTAACTACTACTTTCCATCCTATTTCTTCCTCCTCCCACTTTAAATCAAAGACCAACTGCTCTGAGAAGTTCTCTAAACTCACATCAGGAAACTCATTCATATGTGACTATTGTGGTTGAAATTCATAATCTGGACTTGCAGTTTTGGAAACCGAACTGCACCTCTTTGAGTGCCTCCAAAACTGGGGTTATGAAAAGCTCTTGGATTACTCACATTACAATAAACCCAATAGTAACAAAAGCCTTGTTTTAGCTTTGCAAACCATCAGACTCTCTTGTTCAACTGTAGTTTGACATATACTGTACCTGGATATCCAGGAGCTCATGAGAGCGAATGGTACCACTACTGGGTGTTATGGTAAATTCTTTTGGCTTGACACTTCCCTGGGCTCCCTTTCTCCAGGATGTTCTTGTGATGTCCAAGGTCTGAACAGAACTAGTAACACTTGGATCCCCAGGGCCATCCCCAGGGACACGAAGGTTGAATGTCATGGGGATCAAAGACGTGTTACTGAGGCAACATGATAAGGACCGAGGAAACCCTAGAAAAGAATCAGAGGGGTAGTCGTGTTAGTCTGAATCTGTAAAAAGCAACAGAGGGTCCTGTGGCACCTTTGAGACTAACAGAAATATTGGGAGCATAAGCTTTCATGGGTAAGAACCTCACTTCTTCAGATGCAAGTCTTAGAAGAAGTGAGGTTCTTACCCACAAAAGCTTATGCTCCCAATACTTCTGTTAGTCTTAAAGGTGCCACAGGACCCTCTGTTGCTTTTTCCTAGAAAAGAACATCACTGAATGTGAGTTTATGCATGAATTATCCTTTGATTTCTAGTGTGCATATTTCAGAATGATAAAAGCTGTGCTTGGAATTTAGCTCTGTTCAAACTGAATCATAGTTAATTGAGAAGCTAAGCAAGTAATTAATCTTCACTTGGTTTCCTTGTAAATTGATCACACAGATTGATTCCATGGGATACTAACTTACCATTCTTGATCACCAAATGTCAGAAGAGTTTCATTACAGCTTTAGTTAGGAGAAGACCTCTCTAACTAGCACTGATTGTTATTCATTTTTGAACCTACGTCTAGAGAGAGTGTGATGGGCATATTGGAATAAGACCCAGATTCTGCCACCCTTGCTCATGATGAACAGCATTTTACTCCATGATTTTCAAGACATAAATAAAATACAGCACATGGTACTACTCACTGTGAGAAAGGGTGGCAAAAGAATCAGAATGATGAATCCTTTGGGAACTACAGCACCATGGAAAGATCCTTCCACTGCAAGTTTGCTGCTATCTAAGACATGGTCCTGTTCTCAGTGGAAAATGGTGAAACTTCAGTCAATTTCACTAAGAGCAGGACTGGATCACTAGTGATGAATATGAGCAAAGCTGCTACACTCCTGCTACCTACTAAAAATGCACCGCTTCCAAGGCACATCAAAATCTGAAGACTGCTTTTTCTGCTGAGTGGGTTCTAACCAGTAAATGTTGGAAGTTTACCAATCCTAAATCACATTGTCAGGAACTAGTGCTATTGTTGAGGAAATAATAACTATACAGATTGCATGAGTTTCCATGTGCTTTGTCACAGTTCGAGTCTGAAGGAACTAAGGTTGGTTCTTCTAGTTTCTCCCTGTCAATCAGACACTCATAGGATTACTTCTTATTATAAATAAAATGAGTTTTACAACTCTTGCACACACACCGGTTATAAATGCTAACTCAGCCTGATCTTCAGACCTTTGCTTGTCCCATTAATTCAATTGAAGTTCTATTATTTGAGTGGATTAAAATCAGTCCGGAAAAAGAGGAAGTGATATCAGTTGTCAGGGGAAACATTCTCAAGAACTGGCACAAAATCTGATTGCTCCCTCAAACATGGGTGTCGGCCCATCTATTGCCAAATGGTTTGAAATCTGGGAAGAATCTATTAAACTTACTTCTGCTCATGGATTTCCGGATTGAAACTGGAAACACCAGAAACACTCTTTTCCATCTTCATTTGGCCAAGAAATTGCTCCCCTTCCTCTCTGCTATAGATCTCACGACAGTCACCATATGACTTCCTGCTGTAGCACACGTTACTAGGACAACCTTGAAGTCCACTTGGAAGCTGGTTCAAAACACACCTACTCACTTGCTAGGCAAGGCAAGGCAGGCTGGTGAATATGTATAACACCTATGCAGTGCATTGGCTGTCAAATTCAGTTCCAGGTGAAATTCAGGGTAATGGCATCTACCGACAGCCCTCTAAATGGTGTAAGCTCCAGCTATCTCACATACTGGCTCTTCTTTACACCCCAATATGACAATTGTACTTGGCAAGAACGTCCTATCACTTCTGTAGTTTGTAGGGCATGCATAAGGCAGCAACTAAGGGGGTTAACTCATGAGAGCAGACAGAACTGGTCTACTTGCTCAGTCAGCTAAACCTGTGGGAGAAATGGCACATCACCCACTCTCCAAAGCATTAGATGCATTCAAGTAAGGGTATGTCTACACTACAAAATTAGGTCGAATTTATAAAAGTAGATTTTTTTGGAAGTGATTGTATACAGTCGATTGTGTGTATCCCCACTAAGCGCATTAAGTCGACGGAGTGCGTCCACAGTACCGTGGCTAGCGTCGATTTTTGGAGCGTTGCACTGTGGGTAGCTATCCCACAATTCCTGCAGTCTCCGCCGCCCATTGGAATTCTGGGTTGAGCTCCCAATGCCTGATGGGGCAAAAACATTGTCGCAGGTGGTTTTGGGCACATGTCGTCAGTCGCCCCTCCCTCCGTGAAAGCAACGGCAGACAATCGTTTCGCGCCTTTTTTCCGTGCGGGCGCCATACTGCTTTCAGCAGACGGTGCAGTAGGACTGCTAACCGTTGTCATCAAACGACCACTTCCCCTGCCACTCTGCTCTCCTGCTCTGGCCGCAGACAGTGCAATAGGTCAGAAAAACTGCTCTTCCTACCACCGCTTCTGCTGCCACTCTGCTCTCCTGCTCTCCTTCAGACACCATACCACGGCAGGCATGGAGCCCACTCAGATCACCGCGGCAGTTATGAGCATTGTAAACACCTCGTGCATTATCCTGCAGTATGTCCAAACCAGAACCTGCAAAAGCAGGTGAGGAGGCGACGGCAGCGCGGTGACGAGAGTATGAGGACATGGACACAGACTTCTCTCACAGTACAGGCCCCGGCAATTTGGACATCCTGGTGGCAATGGGGCAGGCTCATGCCGTGAAACACCGATTCTGGGCCTGGGAAACAAGCACAGACTGGTGGGACCGCATAGTGTTGCAGGTCTGGGATGATTCCCAGTGGCTGCAAAACTTTCGCATGCATAAGGGCACTTTCATGGAACTTTGTGACTTGCTTTCCCTTGCCCTGAAGCACAAGAATACCAAGATGAGAGCAGCCCTCACAGTTCACAAGCGAGTGGTGATAGGTCTCTGGAAGCTTGCAATGCCAGACAGCTACCGGTCAGTCGGGAATCAATTTGGAGTGGGCAAATCTACGGTGGGGGCTGCTGTGATCCAAGTAGCCAACGCAATCACTGAGCTGCTGCTATCAAGAGTAGCGACTCTGGGAAATGTGCAGGTCATAGTAGATGGCTTTGCTGCAATGGGATTCCCTAACTGTGGTGGGGCGATAGACGGAACGCATATCCCTATCTTGGGACCGGACCACCTTGGCAGCCAGTACATAAACCGAAAGGGATACTTTTCAATGGTGCTGCAAGCACTGGTGGATCACAAGGGACGTTTCACCAACATCAACGTGGGATGGCCGGGAAAGGTACATGACGCTCGCATCTTCAGGAACTCTGGTCTGTTTGAACAGCTGCAGCAAGGAACTTACTTTCCAGACCAGAAAATAACTGTTGGGGATGTTGAAATGCCTATAGTTATCCTTGGGGACCCAGCGTACCCCTTAATGCCATGGCTCATGAAGTCATACACAGGCACCCTGGACAGTAGTCAGGAGCTGTTCAACTATAGGCTGAGCAAGTGCAGAATGGTGGTAGAATGTGCATTTGGACGTTTAAAAGCGCGCTGGTGCAGTTTATTGACTCACTTAGACCTCAGCAAAACCAATATTCCCATTGTTATTACTGCTTGCTGTGTGCTCCACAATATCTGTGAGAGTAAGGGGGAGATGTTTATGGAGGGGTGGGAGGTTGAGGCAAATCTCCTGGCCGCTGATTACGCACAGACAGACACCAGGGCGGTTAGAAGAGCACAGAAGCTTTGAAAACCAGTTTCATGATTGGCCAGGCTACTGTGTGACAGTTGTTTGTTTCTCCTTGATAAAAACCCGCCCCGTTGGTTCACTCTATTTCCCTGTAAGCCAACTGAGACCTCCCCCCCTTCGATCTCCGCTTGCAGAGGCAATAAAAGTCATTGTTGTTTCAAATTCATGCATTCTTTATTAATTCGTCACACAAATAGGGGGATAACTGCCAAGATAGCCCGGGAGGGGTGGGGGAGGAGGGAAGGACAAGGCCACAATGTACTTCAAAACTTATTAAATGCCAGCCTTCTGTTGCTTGGGCAGTCCTCTGGGGTGGAGTGGTTGGGTACCCGGAGGGCCCCTCTCCCCCCACGTTCTTGGGCGTCTGGAACTTGGGGAGGAGGGCGGTTGGTTACACAGGGGCTGCAGTGGCGGTCTGTGATCCTGCTGCCTTTCCTGCAGCTCAACCATATGCCAGAGCATATCAGTTTGATCCTCCAGTAGCCTCAGCATTGCATCCTGCCTCCTCTCATCACACTGCCGCCACCTATCATCTTGCTCCCACCACCTCTCCTCTCACGCGTCTGTCCTGTCCTTACGTTCATTTTCTGCTTTCCTGGACTCTGACATTGTCTGTCTCCACGCATTTTGCTGAGCTCTTTCAGTGCGGGAGGACTGCATGAGTTCAGAGAACATTTCATCGCGAGTGCGTTTTTTTCGCCTTCTTATCTGTGCTAGCCTCTGGGATGGAGATGATAGGGGGAGCGTTGAAACATTTGCAGCTGCAGGAGGAAAAAAAGGGGAGACTAATATTTAAAAAGACACATTTTAGAGAACAATGGGTAGACTCTCATGGCAAACCAAGATGTTAACATTATATAGCACATGTGCTTTCGGTACAAGGTCGCATTTTGCCTCTTATATTGAGGGCCTGCCGGTTTGGTGTGAGAGATCACACATGGAGGGCTGGGCAACAGAATTCGGCTTGTAGGCAGCCATGGTAAGCCACAGTCTTTCAGCTTCTTCAACCTTCATAACATGTGGGAATGGTTTCAAACAGCAGTGCCCTCCTTTCCCATACCAAGCACCTGTTGGGTTGGCCATTTAAAAGGAGGAGCTGCACTGACCGCGAATGCATCCCAAGTCTAAACGGCAAATTAATCATTAAACACGCTTGCTTTTATGCCATGCATTATATTTACAAAAGGTACACTCACCAGAGGTGCCTTCTCTGGCTTCATGGTCCATGAGTCCGCCTTGGGAAGGTTGGGAGGGTATTGGCTCCAGGGTGATAAACAGTTCCTGGTTGTCGGGGAGAATGGTTTCTCCGCTTGCGTGCTGTGCACTACCCTCATCCTCCTACACCTCCTCATCTTCCTCGTCCCCAAAATCCTCATCCCTGTTGTATGAGACTCCCCCCTTGCAGGTGTCCATGGACAGGGGTGGGGTAGTGGTAGGGGCCCCCTCTAGAACTGCATGCAGCTCATCATAGAAGCGGCATGTCTGGGGCTCTGACCCGGAGCAACCGTTTGCCTCTTTGGTTTTTTTGGTAGGCTTGCCTGAGCTCCTTAATTTTCACGCGGCACTGCTGTGGGTCCCTGTTGTAGCCTCTGTCCATGCTGGAGCTCTTTTGTGATTCTGGGACTGCATGGTCACCTGTGCTGATGAGCTCGCCATGCTGGCTAAATAGGAAATGAAATTCAAAAGTTCGCGGGGCTTTTGCTGTGTACCTGGCTAGTGCATCTGAGTTGAAAGTGCTGTCCAGAGTGGTCACAATGGAGCACTCTGGGATAGCTCCCAGAGGCCAATACTGTCGAATTGCGTCCACACTACCCCAAATTCGACCCGGCGATGTCGATTACAGCGCTAATCCCCTCGTCGGAGAGGAGTACAGAAATCGATTTTAAGAGCCCTTTAAGTCAACAAAAATGGCTTCGTCGTGTGGATGGGTGCAGGATTAAATCGATCTAGTGCTGCTGAATTCGACCTAAACTCGTAGTGTAGACCAGGGCTATGGAAAGAAACCACTTGGAGATGCAGATGTCATTTACCCAAGTCCTACAGTGATAAACTCCTGTCTCAGGCCAGCACTATGGAAATCTTCTGTGGAATTTATTTAGCAAGGAGATTGGAGATCAGTTTGGAGGATACATGTACACTATCTAGAATTCCAAAACTGGCTGAAGTCGCCAGACAATGGCAATAGTTAATAGTATATTTTAAAAGGAGCAAGGATACGAAAGTCTCTCTCTTACTGCTGACAGAGCCTCATTAATGAAATCAGATTAAAGGAAATGAAACTCACATTACCTAATTGTTTTTGCACCTATTCCTTTTTCCCCCCCAATATGAGCTGTCTGGAGTAATTTTATTTTTTTATTCAAAAGGAAACAACAGTAAAAGACAGTATGGTGACGCATGGAAAGGAAGAAAGTGCTCAGAAACGGTAATTAGTTTTCTTAAAGAATCCATGGACAGCATGAAAACACAGACGCACTAGGCAAGAATGATAATGTGCCTTCAATCAATCCACAATTGATTTCACATTTAAACTTTAGATCATCCCTGTGAAAAGGCTTTTGTAAGGCTGAGATGGAGAGTCAGAATCTACATTTCAATGGAGATGTTCTGAATGCACGGACACAAGAGTATGTCAGCAATGCCATGCTTTCAATGGAGGAGAAACCAGAATCTAGGACATCAGTGCCTACCACAGAGCTATTGAGTGGGCATATTAGCAGGTAGGCAATAGCGAGATGTCCACACAGGATGAATTAACTTCTCACACTAAAGGACAGTGGAAGAAGTAATTTCTTTGCCTTGGATTTCAAATAATTGCCCAGGACAGGTACAGGTTAGTGATATGACTAACTCTGCTCTCTCTGAGATGTACAGAGAACAATTAACTCCACCTTCCCATCCCTTTCTCCTTCTTAGACCAGACCATTTCTAGCCACGCTACTGCCAACGTCTACGTTAAAAAAACAACAACACTGGTGGATACTGTATAATATTGATACTAGCTACACTGGTTGCTTCCTCCTATTTGACATCTCCACATGAGAAATGAAATACAAAGAGCTCATATCACTACTTTCCATCAAACTCTGACTTTGGACATTCTATGGCACAAAATATAATGTGATGTAACCTGAGAACTCCTAGTTTTCTCTCACCATTCAAAAACTTTAAGAGGTGTTAACCTCCTGCTCCTTTTAGATGGTGCTGAACGTATCCCATCATTCCTGACAAAGTCCAATACATTCTAGTTTCTTTTCAGAACTTTGTCTCATTAATTTGCATGTGTTTGTGACTAAAAGCTGCCCAAATGCAGGATGGGAAATTTGGGTCCTTCCAGATGCAATTATCAGGATTGTCTCCCAGGTACCTTGATCCATCAGCAAAGAGCTCTCCATGCTTGTTTTGCAATGTGGAATACTTCCATTATGTATTAATCTTACAAATCAGCTGACTCTACGAAACAAAGCTTGGTTCAATACCCCAAAGCCTTATGCAAAGGATCTCATGCAGTGGATGCTCTTGCATGAAAATGTTTCATTTTAATATTGCAGTAGACCTCACCTACAACTGGCAACTAAGAACAATATACTCACCAAAGGAGACATCGCCAAAATTTAGGGATGGTACGTTGAAATGAAACGTTGGTCCGATGACACAGCCCCTGGGAGGAAAAAGACACAGAAGGAGGAAGCGTCATTCTGGTTAGCAAGAAAGAGTCCATAGCTTTTAGCTGCTGCTACAGTTAGCAGTGCAACTAGGGGAATGTTGGTCTTAAATTCACCAGTGTCAAATCAATACACCTCCCACCTGTGCTTAGCAAGGCATCAGTGTGGAAACTAGGCAGCCTAGGTGAAGTGATGAATAAATGGAAACTGAGGAAGGCTGACTCTATTTAGTCCTATTTATCAATCTGACTGGTCAAGTCAAACTCTTTCTGTGAGGGAGGGAAGTTGGGATCAAGTGAAATGATTTGGAAAGTCAGGTTTCCAACCCCCCCCTTGGCAAGGACCTGGAGTATAACAGTTTCACTTGTATATGCCCTTTTCTCAATGCACTGCAAGTGCCAGACACCCTAAAACTCAATCCAGTGATGCTACTGTAGCCAGGGTTCCAGACCATAGCTTCACTGGCTTGATGTTCTTCAAAATACCAGCAATGTTTCTGAGCTGTAATAGGTGTTCTTCTGATGGATAAGGTTTGTCTTTCACTTGATGAATATTGGCCCAAGCAACCAATGAACTTGCAGGATTCTGAGGCACGGATCCAGGGAGCTCAAGACACCTGTCAGCATCCCAAATGCAAGTGAGATAGCACTAAAGAACATGGTTGCTGTACTGGAGTTGTGGCTAATGGAGAAATATGCCTATTAGCCACATACACACTGGTTGACAATTAAAACAATGACCAATGCATATCTGAATTAAGCTGCCAGAAATCTGAACTGCTCTGATGCCAGTTCACTTTCTTACTTCTCCTCTCCCTCTCACTCATCCCCTTCTTTCATCCCCCACCCCCACAGCCAGGACATTTGCACACTCCACTGAAACTAGTGACCGGAGCTGCACAATGCTAAACAGGTATTTCATGTGTGCTACCTTGCTGGTGCAAAGAACTGAGATCTCTCCTTTCTGGACTGAATAAAGGGACCACAGTCCTTGCACTGTGCCTTCAAAGTTTGTTCTCAGGATTGTGCCTGCAGCCAGGCTGTGTTTGCTGCCATTGTAAGAGGGTGATCGGGTGGTTTCCAGTGTCCTGCTGGAGGGAATTTGTATTCATTGTGTGTGCAGTGCATATGATTTCCCCTTTTTTCGACACCAGTGTCCCTTCTGATACCAGCTTCACCCTTCTATTGATCTGGAGCAGATGTCCAGGAACTTGCAGGTTGACTTCCCAGTAGAGGAGAAATTAGTGACTTGGGGATTGGGTACATTCTGACTGTAATTTGTTCAGTCCTGGAACACAAGCAGTCAATCCCCTCTTTCAGGAATCTCGGCCCAGAAACAATGTTCACAGGAAGCAGTTCTGCCTTAAGAATGGACTCTAGTCAGAGCTCACGGCAGACAGCTAACTCTCCTGCTGCTTGCATAGCTCCCTGTGCAAGGAGCACTGCCTCTACACAGAATCTTCCATAACAAAAACTAAAACCACTGCACATGCTCCCAATATTGAACATTTGCTCACAGGCCAAGAAGAAGAACTGGAAAGACTGTATAACAGCATTACCTGGTGACACTTGCCGTAACACAGAGGAAAGCTACCCCTAAAATGCCTCTGGTTGTGGATTCTACCAGGAAGTCACCAAAGACCAAGCTTGCCATGCAAGGGGGGGAAATTACTTTTCTTTGGGCTCAGCCATTTGCATCTCTGCTTAAATGAGTTAAACCCTGCTTGGCTACCCAGAAGTTCTGGGCATGGTGCCATCTCAGAGCTCTGTGCCAACAGCTGATAACAGGGCAGCTCACACATAACAAGAGAAAGGACAGCAGGTTTTGAAACAGTGATCTCTTAAAGAATCACAGAGCAAGAGCAGTTGATGCTTGGTGATACAAAGTAATGCGCATTGGAAAACATAATCCCATATTATACATATAAAATGATTGGGTCTAAATTAGCTGTTACCACTCAAGAAATAGATCTTGGAGTCATTGTGGGTAGTTCTCTGAAAACATCTACTCAATGTGCAGCAGCCGTCAAAAAAGTGAGCAGAATGTTGGGAATCATTAGGAAAGGGATAGATAATAAGACAGAAAATATCATATTGCCTCTATATAAATCCATGGGATACCCACACCTTGAGGAGGGATAGCTCAGTGGTTTGAGCATTGGCCTGCTAAACCCACCGTTGTGAGTTCAATCCTTGAGGGGGCCACTTGGGGATCTGGGGCAAAAATCAGTACTTGGTCCTGCTAGTGAAGCAGGGGGCTGGACTCGATGTCCCTTCCAGTTCTAGGAGATGGGATATCTCCATTAATTATTAATACAGTGTGCAGATGTGGTTGTTCCATCTCAAAAAAAGATATATTAGAATTGAAAAAAGTACAGAAAAGGGCAACAAAAATGGTTAGGGGGATGGAACGGCTTCCATATGAAGAGAGATTAATAAGACTGGGACTTTTCAGGTGGAAAAGAGATGACTAAAGGGGGGATATGCTAGAGGTCTATAAAATCATGACTGGTGTGGAGAAAGTAACTAAGGGAGTGTTATTTACTCCTCCTCATAACACAAGAACTAGGGGTCACCAAATGAAATTAATAGGCAGCAGGTTTCAAACAAACAAAAGGAAGTATTTCTTCACACAATGCACAGGCAACCTGTGGAACTCCTTGCCAGAGGATGTTGTGAAGGCCAAGACCATAACAGGGTTCAAAAAAAGAACTGGATAAGTTCATGGAGGATGGGTCCATCAATGGCTATTAGCCAGGATGGGCAGGGATGGTATCCCTAGCCTCTGTTTGCCAGAAGCTGGGAATGAGTGACAGAGGATGGATCACTGGATGATTACCTGTTCTGTTCATTTCCTCTGGGGCACATGGCACTGGTCACTGTCGGAAGACAGGATACTGGGCTAGATGGACCTTTGGTCTGTCCCAGTGTGGTCGATCTTATGTTCTCACCAGAGGAGAGGATAAGAGAGGAGAGGGGCAAAGACCCAGCCATTGACTGGGGCAGCCTGGTGCTCTCTGATTTCATTTGGGGGGTGCAGGGACTCACCAATACTATGGGAAAGAAGGCACCAACACAACATTGTATCAGAACTACTGCTTGCTTAGAAGGGTTCTGAGCAGCTGTTATGAATGATGCTAACAGTTGAAAGGCCTTTGGCTAGGCACCCACCAGAACTGGCTGCTGGAGCAGCACAGAGGAATGAGTGCGAGGGCACAGGTGCTTATGTAGCCAGTTACCAGAGGTATTTTCCAAAGCTGTACGCTCGATTGGCAGAGCACACAGGGGCTGAGCAGATTTTTGCCGCTTATGTGGTTTAAATATTATAATGTAAAATTTGCATATGTAAATAGTGATTTTGCAGCTAAACTGGCATTTTTTAAATTGTGCCAGCTGATGTGGGTGCCAGCTGCTGATCGGTTGTCTGCATCTACTCCTAATAGTGAGTCTGTAGTGACAAGGTAATCTGGCCAAATTCAGAAGCCAGGCCAGTTTTCATCAGGAGGAGGTCAGACTACTAAGCAGCACAGGCAATGAAAGATGTCCCGGCTTCCTTGGGATGCTAGCTCTGGTGGTGGAGGGCCACCTAGTAGGAGAGACATGGATGGAGGTGCTGGGTGGGATTTCTGAGAGTCTCCCTTGATCCTTAATTAGCCAGGAACATCCATGCAGGAGCAGCCCCTTGAGCCACAGCCAGCCAGGAGATGTGAGGCTCTCCAGAGATACGCACCATCTAGAGGGATGATGGTCCTTGTGGAGGATGAGGGAGAGGACATAGGGGTGAGGGATGAGTCATCTGAGCCCTCATCCCAGCCTACATGACCTCCATCACCACATACCTTATCCCGCAGGATCCCCCAGCCAGGGCACCTCCACCCAAAAGAGAACTGGGAGTGTTTCTTCATGTAGAACCAACACCTGGAGTATAGCAGCAGCAGCCTGGCTGGGCCCAAGAGCAACTGGCACTCACCAGGAAAATGGTGATCTGGGCTCAGCGTGAGTGCAGAGCATCAGAGTGGGGTGACCAGATTATTGCAAAGTCAGTCAGCTGCTCCCCAACTCTATCTGTGCACACTCGACCCAGCATAGCACCTAGCCATAAGAAGCTCTGTGAGTCTGCCTCATGCTCTGGTGCATCTTTGTACTGCCCCAATTCTAGGGGCCAGCAGGAGCCAATTCAACACCCAATGTATGTGGGCTGCTCTGAGCTACCCCCTGCACCTACGAAGCCACTCTGGCAGCCGTAAGTAGCCAGAGTGAAGAGGCACCCTGGCTTTATGGTGGGAAAAGGGAAGTAAGTGGGAGGTATAGCACTGATGCACTGGCTCTGCTCCACCAGGGAGTCAGGAATCCCTGGCTAGCCAGGGAAGTGTCCCTTACCATTGCAATAAGAGCCATGCAAAGGGGTTGGAGTGAGGCTGAGAGTTTGGCCCAAGAAATCCAGATCTAGAGGAACTAGGTTCGAGATGGTGGGTAGATATCCAGGAGGAGAGGTCAGAAAGGCAGCTTGTGTTATGGAACTGGTGGAACTGGAGATATCAGGGCTGGACAGGAGTCCCTGGCTCAGAAGCATGGTAGAATCCGGGGAAACAGATGAGGTCACAGAGAGCGTACAGAGAAAGAAGAGGAAGGGGCTGAAAACAGAAACTTGAGGGACATCAACAGAAGACAAAGAGGGGAGGATGAGACAGCTGCAGCAGCACAGGAGCCAGCAAACAGAGCTGTGAACAGGGGAGTTTCAGTGGGAGTTTGCGGGGAAGACTAAGAGAGCTAGGCAGAGGAATAGACAGGCTAGTGAAGGGAGTGTGTTCTGGTGCCCTTTGGGGGTTTGTTTTGCTGTGGGTGGTGGTGGTTTGGTTTGGTTTGTGTTTCCCAGACTAACAGGTTCCCTAACAGGGAAGGCTATGACCGATACAGAGGCAGCAGTGGAAGACACAATGAGGATGACTGGATGTGGAAGCTGCGACATGTACTTGATCCTGGAGGGGGTACCTGAA